GGCCTGCATGGCGCGCCGGCCTGCATGGCGCGCCCGCCGACGCTCTGGACGCGGCCGTAGCGAAGGTTGTGTGGTTTGGGAGGGGAATCAGCTGTGCTCGCCGTCTCTTTGGCTGGTGAAAGAGATGCAGTGCAAAGCATTGCGAATGGCATGCACACATCAAACTTCTCATGTTGCCCCCCTGCCCCAGCTGCTGCGGAGCAAACTCCCCCCATCTCTTAATCCTCCCTCCCTGCCCCCCTTCCTCCCACCCTATCTCCCAATTTGAATTGTGCGCATACGCACGCACACATACACACACATACACTCTTGCATAACCCATTCCCTCTGCGCACCCAACATCCACGCAGATCGCCGTCGATGATAAGACCGGCAAAGACACGCCTCGCGCCGCCAAGACCGGCGCCGAGCACTTTGCTGCTGTCGTCACCCCCACTGGCTACTTCAACTGGAGGAGATAATTGTGAGAGCAGCTCCGCCTGCTGATATGGTGCCCATGTGGCTCAACAGACCAGCCCTCGTCGCACCCGCGTGTCAGGAAGGGGCTGGCAGAGTTGGCCCGTTGCGCGCAGTGCAGGCTCGGGCTCGGCAGCCCTGTGCGGCAGCTGCCTGATGCATTCAATGCACTGCGTGCGTGCCTCTGGTCCTTTAATATGTCCCATTAAGAACATGCTTGACTTTGCGCCCCCACCGCGCTGTTGCTGCGCAGCGCACCTGCGCGCAGCTTTGGTGCAGGCGGGGGCTGCCGTGCGGGATTGGGGGTGCAAGAGCACGAGCAGGAGGGGTGCACCTCCGTGGGTGCTGCTGCCGTCTGCTGCGTGGCCTCCTCACTGCAGCATTTGAATTTGTTTGTGGCATTGCAGGGCGCGTGCACCATGCACTTCGCATCTGCTTCATCACTTCCATTCAATGGCCTGCACCGATGTGCCAAAGGGCCCTGCAAGAGCATGCACTTGGCTTGCATGGCATCAACAACCTGCGCGTGTACACCCACGCACGCTTGCGCGCACACGATCACAAGGCTGCGTCCAGCCAAGTGCACCATTCCTTACCGCCAGCATGCATGGCGATGAGGGACTCTCACACACTTTGAGTGCTTGCGCATGCACACACAACGCCAACCTCCAAACTTTGGACGCGCCTCTGTCTGACCAAATATTGGGACATGCCCGTGCCTCCCCCGCCCTCACTTGGTCCATCGGTCATCCCAGCTCACGGCCTGATGAGCAGCAGCCAGCTCGCGCGACGGTTGCCCGCATCAGCGCTGTGCTCGCGTCGCACCGCCACGGGCCTCGATTTGACAGGCTTGAGGGTTCATGACATGCATGCGCGCCCTGTCTGAGCGTGTTCCTGTGTCTGTCACACCTCTGCATGTGGCTGGTGCCACTCTGAGCCACCTCCCAGCTGGCCGATGCAGCCAGCCTCGTGCATGCCACGATGTGTTTTGACGTCGGCTTCCTGCCGAGGCATCAGTGCTTGTTTCAGCACCCGCCCCATCAACAGCTTCTGCTGTCCTTTCCTTGATTTGGAATTTTCCACCCGTCTAAGGGCTGATCAACCTCTCTGACCTGGCCGCCTTGGGAAGCTGCAGGCGCTGATCAGTGCGGAGCCGCCGTTGCGCACGCATCCCGCCATACCGCCAAGCCTGGGAGCCCCTCATTACTAGAAATACCGTAATTGGGTATTGCCCTGCTTGGCTGCCACTGCTCTTGATGATGTCCTGGGTGCTGAGCGATGCAGGGGCGCCCACATCCTTGTTCCCTGCACCCACCATCGATTACCGCGGGCCCCTTGCACTGGCCCTGCCCTCTTAACAGTTCCTTGAATTTCGGCTATGCGACTGCCAGAGCAGGGGGCCTGATCCCCCTGTTCCCTTCTGTGCGCCTGCCATTGAGTCTTGCGTAGCGGCTGTCGGCATTGGCATCCACCTGAACCGGTGCTACAGTAACTGTGTTTCCAAACGATCCTGCTGCTCAATGCAGAAGTATGTGAGCAGGGAAAAGGGGCTCAGCACAGATGTTTGCTGTGCCAGCAAGTGGCCGCACGCCTCAGACAGCCATGCATGTGCATGAGCGGGTGTGCCGGATTATGAGCACTCCAGTCCTGGTGGCCGGTCGCAGCAGCACCCGGTGCCGGATGCACCGTGCCGGACCCAAAGGTGACACATTTATGATTTGTTGCGCGCATACACACCCGATCGTATTGTTTGATGTTTCCTATGATGAAGACCTGTACGGTATGCCCATTTCAGATTTTATGCAGAGAGATCTCGCGATCCGAAGTCGCTGTAGCAGTGGAAAGCCTCCTATGCCGACAATTCTGTGTATATGTGGGCCCTGTGGCTGCGGCAAAACGTAAGCATGCGCTTGCAGCCCCGGGACATGATGGGGCGCCTGCGATACGCGCTTGCGCATGGCACAAGTGCGCGGCTGCAAGGCCCCCAGTACGCTGCGGTATCGAGCCGCGACCTGCATCTCTACCTCTACCCCCGACCCAGCACCGTCGGCCGCGCTGTCGCGGCAGTGGCCGGCTGCGCCTTCGTCGACGCCGATGGCTTCCACCCGGAGTCCAACCTCGAAAAGATGCGAGCGGGCGTGCCCCTCACCGACGAGGACCGGTGGCCTTGGCTGCTTGCGCTGCGCTCGGAGCTGCTGCAACGAGCGGCCAGGTGGGATCAGCTGTGTGTGTGCAGGGCAGAAAGGCACCATTTGAGTTTGCAACGGGGCTGTAAACTTTCGGTTGGCGTCTGGTGTGTCACTGGGCAGCTCCCGCACACTCACGATGGCCCATCCGGGTCTCCACACTCTTGTGCGCCCCGTCGCTGCGTGCAACCACAAGGCATCACCTGACTTGCAATCAAAGCGACTTCACCCGTTTGCCGCGCCCTTGGTTCCCCAGTGGGCAGAGTCTTGTGCTGGCCTGCTCGGCGCTCAAAGCGTCGTATCGACAGTTGCTGTCCGGCCAGGCGCCGCCCGGCGCCCCCCTGGAGCCGGCCGGCGGCGCGACTACTGCTTGGGATGCGGCCGGCCACCCACACGCGCCGGCTCACAGTGCTGCGCCAGAGGCGATGCCCGAGGCAGCCACGGCGCCGTCGGCCGAAGCGCGAGAGGCGGTGGCCTCTGCTGATTCAGAATCGTGCGACGGCGCCTCCAGCTTTGCCGCTGACCGCGGCCTCAATTTTGTGAGTATCTAATGGCATCGGATGCACGTGTCCACGTCCCGCGTAAATATGCTTTTCCAGTGGATGCTCGATTGGCAGAGTTGCGGAGTGTCGTATGGAGCGCCCCTGTACCGCTGCTTTTGCACTTATCCTTGGTTGACGGCATCGCTGGTGTTGCGAGGCCCCTTCCAGCCTTTGCAACCTGTCGCTGTCACACACCACAACCAGAACCGCCTCCTGCCCTTGGTCCCAGGTCCTGCTGCTGCCGCCGAGGGACGCACTGCTGCGCCGTGTGCAAGCGCGGCAGGCGGCAGGGGCCCACTTCATGCCGGCGGCGTTGCTGGACAGCCAGCTGGCAACCCTGGAGATGGGAGCACCCTCCGATTGGCTGATTGTTATTGACGATGACAGGCCGCCAGAGGCGGCGGCGGCTGCGGTGGCGGCTGCATGGGCAGCCCAGAGGATACGTGCAAGCCCTCTCATGGCTGAATGACATCGCCCCGCATGTTGTTGCTGCATTGCGCTGTGGGGTCGGCATTGCGCTGTGGCTGGCATTGTTTTTGCTTTAGTGCCCATCTGCAACAGCTCTGACAAAGTATGGTATGCATGTCTGAGCTGCGTCTGTTACATTCAGGTCTCTGTTGTGCACAAGCGCCAGGGGCATGTCGCATGCGCGTGGCTACACTGCAGCACACATGGTAGAGTGCAAGAAAAGATCAGCGGTCATGGCCAGTTCTGAGAACCAAGCTGGAGCAGCATGGGACCTGTCGCGCGTAAGCTGGGGGTAGTGTTTGCCAGGGCTTAACCCCCAGAGCAGGGGCCCTTGGGGTGACCAAAGCAGCAAAACGCCACAGTGCTGTCAGCTGGAAAGTGCCGCACACCAGACCCAAAGTCACTGGTGATGTAATACGAAGCCCTTGCCCCAGTGCTGTTGTTGCAGATCGAGCGCATGGCCCCAGTCCAGCCACTGCGAGGGCAGCACCAGATGCAGAGCTCACTCCTTGAAAGAGTCCGGCCACACAGACGCGTGGCGCTCAGGTCCCACAGCTTCAAAAGTTCACGTGCAGGGGATAGCACACCGCGCCCCCCACCCCACCCCTGCTGTGTAGTTGACCGGGCGCAGCAGGCCAAGGTACCTCCGCAACCCTTGGCATGGCCTCTCTGAAGCAAGAGCACGCCGTGAGGTGTGCGGTGGCCGTTCCGTGCGTCCGCCTCTGCCCGCTCTTTGTGTCAGCAGGTCAGTTTTGGCAGGCCCGCCACGCAGTTGATGCGAGCCAGGGGGATGCAGCAGAAACGTGCTGGGCGCAAACCATAGAATTCACTCCTCGTCAACCTCATGCCAAAACACGGCATCATCATACATGTTGTCCACCTCGACCTCCTGCTTCTTCACAGCAACCTTGGACACCACAAACCCGGCCGCAAGGCCGGACACGATCGCCACGCCCAGCGTCACCCCGAGCCCGGCCAGCTGCCACAACGGCTGCTTCGTGCCATGGATCATCAGCGGGGCGTTGGCGGGCGTCAGATAAATCCAGGAAAACAGAGCAGAGGCAAGGCCTCCAAGGATGCCAGGAGCGCCGTGGAGGTTGGCGACGCCGCAGGTGTCGGAGATCCCGAGGTACTTCTCGAGGGCGGGAGAGATCGTCTCGTAGCCCAAAGTGGATAGTGCACCAGCAACAATGCCAACTAGGAGTGATGGGCGGTTGGATGTGAATGGGTGGGTGAGTGTGCCGGTCAAGGGTGTGTGAGTGGCGGGTGAACAAGTGGGCTTTGCCACGCACATGCGGCGTTGTACAGCAGTTGACATCGCACGCAGTTGAGTTGCTTGCACGGCAACCTCAGGCCTTATGGACGAGCCAAGGCCAAAGCAAGGTTTGCATGACACTGGGCTGCAATTCAAACGCTGCTGGTGGGCAAGCACTGCAGCCTAACCCAGGTGCCGGAGGCCCGCGCACCAGCCAGGGTCGCGGCCGGTGGGAGACGCAGGTTGGCGGAGGACCCAATAGCAACGCCGCCTGCAGGGAGGGCAAAAGTAGAGGTGATTCCGATTGCGCCCATGTATGCGCAAGGCCTGGTGCTTGCCCCTCGACGATGGCCGTGTGGGCTTCCCTATCACACTCCCCTGCAATTACAAAGCGGCGTTGGGCACGTGCGGCGCGGGCTAGCAGCCCGTCCGTGGTTGCCGCTCGGTGGTCAGCACAGGAACCCTCCAGCCCGCCAAGTTGAGATCGGGCGCGAGCTGGCTGTTACAGGGGCACCTCTATCTGGTGCGCCGGGCAGGCGCACTCACCAGCCAGAGTCGCGTTCTGGATGTGCACCATGTTGAGCTGGTTGCCAAACGCAGAGGACGCGACGAACGCGGCCAAGCAGGCACCCAGCAGCGCAATGACGGTGTTCATCACACACAGCCCCTGCTCGCCCGCAGCGAGGGCCCCGTTGAAGGACGGCCTGCAAAAGGGAGGGACAGGGACAGGCACCAGGGGGACCGGAAAGCCGGTGATTGGCTGATGTGCGTTTGTGAACAGGCGGTTGGCACAGGGATGCTGCAGCAACAGCATGTGCGTAACTGCTGTGAGGGGCGGGCAGGCTGGGCCCCCGGTCTCCGCGATCTCCATGTGCCCATGCTCCTGCGCCCTGGTTTCCACCATACCCTGCATCACCCATCTCACCGTGTCCCTGGCCGCCCCAAACCCCTCCAAACGTAATGCCCACCAGTAAATGAACAGGAAGAGCGTCCCCAGCATGGCGCTCATGTCCGACGCGTAGCTGGCCCCGTTCTTGGGGTGCCCCGCCCCTGCTCCCTTTGGCGACAAGAACACCGACGCCGCCAGCCCATAGAGCGCGCCGAAAGCATGGATGGTGATGGACCCGCCGACGTCCAGCGCCTCCCAGCGGCCCGCGACCAGCTGCGCGGTAGCTGCGTAGGGGGCGACCTCCAGCGCCAGCAGCCACACAAGCTGCGCGGGGGTGGCCTTGCCCAGGACGGCGCCGAAAGATATCATGGCCGCGCCCGCGCAGAAGGCGGCGTCGATCATGAGGGGCAGGTCAATCGTGACGACCCCGAAGCCTTGCTGCGTCCAGCCGATGAGGAGGAGGGCCTCGAGGATGACCAAGCATGACGTCACGTAGTTGAGGGCGATGGCGGAGTAGCTGTAGCGCTTCAGGAATGTCATGAGGGCGCCGAATCCCAGAAAGATCTGCGTGCGTGCGTGCGTGCGTGCGTGCGTGCGTGTGTGTGTATGTGTGTGTGTGTGTGCGCGCGCGTGTGTGTATGTGTGTGTGTGTGCACGTGCGCGCATGCATTCCGCGACTCGCTTGTGTCGATTCAGAAGGCGATCATGCAGTTTCGTGGCGATGCTGTGTCGCCCCTGGTTGGGTGGGCGGCGCGGTCGTGGGCTCGCCAGGCGCAATGTGATAGCCGCAGCTGCGATTTATAGCTCAGAATGCTATTTGCATGGTGTTTTGGCCACGCAACCAGCACACTTAGGGCAAATCAGGGGACCACTGCTGCGTGCGCCCGGTTTTTTGGGGGGGAGGGGAGGGGGTCGGAGCGGAAAGCCGCATCCAGGCGGCGCGCACCATGACGAGGACGTCTGTGAGGAAGCTGTAGTAGCGGTCCACGTGGGCAGGTGTGGCTTCCTCCGAAAATTGCCCAAACACGGCGAGCAGGCCGAGCAGTGCGGCGAGCAGCGCGGCGAGCGAGGTTGAAAAGGTGGCCTTCAGGTCAAAGCTGCTGCTGCCATGGAGCAGCGGGGCGCCCGCCTCGGCGTCTATGGCCATCTTGTGTTGGATCTTTCCACTGCTGAGCTCGGTTAGCACAACGGAGGGCCGTTAGGGCTCCCGCGGCGAGCACGTGCGTGGTCTCGAAACAAAGCTAGCAATACTTCCAGACTGGGGCAAGTTCACTGCGTGCGTAAGGCGTAATCTGAATCAGTTGAAAAAATCCCTGATGTGACAAGCGAACCCGTTCTGTAGTTCTGTTGCCGGGCGAACCAGTGACTGAGATCATGACTCGTGACGCCGGTGGTCGGGCGGCGAGTGCACCTTTGTTTTCCAGTGAAACAGCCAGACCTGCAACCAAGGTTAGACTGGGGAAATAGCTGGTTGAGGCATCCGAGCGAGCAACGCAAGCTTAGCTAGGTCTGCGGTGAGGGAACTCAAGCGGTGTTCGGTCCACTCACAAGCCAGAATGAGTCCGCATGCACGGCTGTGGTCATATTGTGTGTGCAGCAGGGTGCAGCGAGGCTAAAACGGCGTGAGAAACACGCCTCTGGTCTCATAGCCTTTCATGATGCAAAGATGTGCAGGTCTTACCCAACCCTCTGCGCGCAACCTTCCGTGGCCTTTCTTAGTAAGTTCCGCTGCGCCACAACGCAACAACGGCTCCCTGGGCCTGGCTGCTTGCTGCTCAATTGTGAAACTCAGACCCAGTGCTGTTGCTTCGCAGGCCGTCCGTCCAGCAAGGTGCTATACGTCTGGCCACCTCCCCAATCTTTCCCCGCCCCTGCATCAGCGAGGATCCACGTGTGTTCTGGGACTGGGACGGACAATCTGGAGCGATGCCGAGCTCTTACATATCAATTGTGTGCAATTACAGCACGCTGTTAGTGACAGGGTCTCTCAATAGCTAGGTCTGTGTCAAAGAGCAAGCTGTCACCAAGGTGTGAGTAATCTAATGATACAGCGCAAAACCAAGCATACAGTACATCGTATCAACATGCACTTTGGCGAAGCAAATGGCGCAGCATGTATGAAATAGCCAGCAGCTTCGACTGGGGTGCTGCCATCAACTGATCAGGTATACAGAGCGCTTGCATCACAGCAGGTATACGTGACTCTTGCTCAGGCCCTGATCGCATGTTGATATACATAGAAGTGAGTGTCAAAGGTCAACTTTGCACCGCCTGTGCACCATCGCTGCTGCCACCGCCGCTGGCGTCGCTGTTGCCGCAGCTGGCCGACGAATCGGCAGCTTTCTTGGCTGCCTGCGCCGCCAGGCACTGCTGCTTGTGGCCGCACCTCCACCCTGCCTTGTAGCAGGCGTCGGAGCAGAAGCGCGCCGCCCTGCAGCCCGCGCACAGCCTCAGCCGCACGCCGTCTGCTTCGGCGGTCTTGCCGCATACGGCGCAGCTTGCAGCGGCCGCAGTGGCAAGCTGCGACTTGTTACACGCAGGCTGAGGGGCGATGCTGCTGGGGCCCGGCCCAACCTCCGGACCCAGTCCTGCAGCTGCTTGACTTGCAGCTTGGCGCGAACCCTCTATCTGCAAATTCTGCTGCTGCGGCTGCCGCTGCACGTGCGGCTGCTGCGCCTGATGCTGCTGCGCCTGCTGCGCCTGCGGCAGCACCTGCTGCTGTTGCTGCACCGGCCGCTGCGGCGCCTGCTGCGCCTGCTGAACAAGCGGTGGCCCAGCCTCAGCAGCACCTGCACAAGGGGCATCCACGGCACTGCCGCCCTCCTCTGCTCCCTCGTTGCCCCTGCCGGCGCCGCCTTCCATAATCCTGCCCTCTCTGCCGCCAATGTCGACACCATTGACACCCACCACCCGCAAGACCTGCCACCCGTCCTCTCCCGCGACCGGCTGCACGTTCAAGGTGAGGTTCATAAGCTGCTCCATTGCCGCCGCATCCCCTGCCTCACCGAGAGCCGACCGCGCGGCGGCCAGCATTTCGGCCACCCCCGGCGCCGCGCCCAGCCTCTGGGCCGCGGTGGGCGAGAGGACGATGAGCTGCCCCACGAGGGAGGCCGCCTCCAGCCGCGCGCGTTCCAATTGATCGGGCCGGGTGAGGTGCGCGATCACGCCCAGTGCCTGAGGCGTGGCCACGACCTCCTCGGCCCCCGCGGCCGGGTGCGGGCTGCGGTGGAGCACGGTGTTCAGCAGGCCGCCGCAGAGGGCGGCGCTCTCACTGGCCCGGCGCTTGTTGTAGTCGACCAGCAGCCGCGCCAGGGCGCCCGCGACGCCCGGGGCCGCCGCGACGTCGTCGCGCGCGCGCGGGCAGGCGTGGGCGACGATGGAGAGGAGGGTCGCCGCGCCGTTCCGCGTCTCGAGCGAAGAGTCTCCGTTGTCGGGGCAGGCCTGGAGGACGGCCGCGGCGGCCGCGAGCGCGCCCGGCGTCGCCGCCACGCGGGCTGCGAGGGGCCCAAAGTGCACCGCCGCCCCAACCTCACTCCCAGCAGCTGCCTGCCACACGCACAGGGAGGCCAGCGCGCCGCACGCAACCCCCGTGGCCGGGTTTGCGGGGGGCGCGTTGACGACGACGCGTAGTAACGCGCCCGCGGCGTCCGGCGGTGACGCGAGAAGCTGGGCTGCGGCCGCGGCCGGCGGGCGCGCGTGGGGCTGCAGCATTGAGTGGAGCAGCATGACGCCGCTGATCACTATTTGCTCATTGCTCGGCCAGCGGCTGAGGCTCTCGGCCACGGCGCGCACCGCCCACGGCTGTGCCATCAGCTGCGCGGGTGAGTGGGTGGGTGGGAGGCAGGATTCAGGTGTCGGAGCAGCCCCACATACCCCGCGTGCAGCCGCATGTCACTTCTCAACTTGGCTGTGGGCTATGCATGTGTGGGAGCAAGCGCTCAGGCGGGCGGGCGGGCGGGCGAGCTCGCCCAAACGCAGTGATCCCCGGCAGTCGGGCAGGGCGCTGTCCCGGGCAGGCCCAACCCCGTTGCACCTGCGCGTGCCTCGCGGTAAGTTTCAACTCGGTAGTTTGAGACATTATGTGCATAGACTGCAATATGATTGCAGCGGCCTGCTCTCTGGGCTCGACCAGTGCCTTTTGCAGCTGTCCCAGCAGGCCCAGAGACAAGAGGATGTCAGGCGCCTTGGTCGCTTCTTGCCAAAGCTCCTGGGCCGCTGCCTCGCAGGATGTGGGAGTGCATCTTTTGTTACGATTGATGCGTCCTGCGAGCGCCAGCACCTCGCGGAGCGCCCGTTCCATGGGCTGAGCTGCAGCTAGGCCTCTCGGATCCGCACAATCTGCTTTTGAATGTCGAAAACAAACGTCAAGCGTCATGCGCTACCATAGCGTACCAGCAGTTTGGCCTGTGTCCAGATCTTATTGTCGGTGTCACCAGGATTGGGTTGGCGGAGTGAGACGACGTGGATGGCATAGATCCGGGAACCTCGGTCGCAAATGAACACAATTACAGTAGCCTGAAAGTTTGCAACACTCTCCTAAGTGCAAGTCGCCGTGGCGTTGTTGTAGGCCGTCTAAAAGTTCCGGTTTTCGGCCATCGAGCCTTGCTTAGGACAGCATCACAATAGTCCGGCTGTGACCTGTCTGTCATGCTTGCAAAGCAGCATGCGTGCAAGCACCAGGCTCGCACATGCGGGCTCAGCAGCTGGTCGCCTGTGCGCATGCGTCTTCGAGCGCCGAGCAGCAGACAACGAGCGCACTTTCAGGCCCAGAAGGAGGATCAGGAGGAGTATGATGTTGGTAAGCACGTGTTTTGCTCTTAGCCGGGAACATGCCAAATCAACGAATGCAGTTCCATTCAAGGCAAGGCTGACAAGTTCTCAGCACCAGCCCGCCGAGTGCCTCAACACTGCGCCCTGCAACCGCTGAGGCGCTGCCCTTACGCTTGGTCCTCATCCACTCTGCACCCTCAAGTCACACGTTTTGTCGGCAAGCTGTTTGGCAAGTCGGTCATCGGTGAGCGCTCGCTGGGGACCAGGCTCGCCCGCATGCTGCAAGCAGTTTGCTCCGCACCCTGCGAGACTGGCCCCACCAGCAGTAATGTCCTTTTTGCTGGCCTTGGACACGACCCTGCCTGTCTCTGATTGGCATGCACACGCTTGGTTAGTGTGTGCATGCGCGTGCACACACACTTACACACACATACGCACACACACACACACACATGCGTGCTCGGACGCGCACACCCCCACAC